GTACCTTTTTCGTATTCGGATCATTTTAAAATATGCAAAAAATCAAAAAAAACTTAAGCGAGTAATCATGTTTTCAAGGATTTTAAAACGAGGCAAAATTTTATTCTCAAATATCTAAAAAAGAAGAAATGAAATCATAATAAAAAGTACACTTAACCCTAACCCTACCCTAACCCTAACCTTAGCCCTAACCTTACTTAAAATGCAGTGGAGCAAAAATCTTCAATATTTATCTTTAATGTATTTATAATTACCAGAAAAATGAGCTGATTTGATTGATTAGAGAATTTCGGTCCCACCTGAAATATAAATGAATTGATTTTGGAGATTTTTGGTCCCCCCTGAAATTCAAATGACAAATAGTTTGGGCATGATGCATAGCTTAAAAATTTAACGTCATATACATTTCATCCCAAATAGTATAAAGTAGTTTCAATTTCAAAAAGCTTTAATTTTTAAATAGTACATAAAGTAATAGTAATTTAAAAATTGTAAATGCTAGGGAAGACTGGGGCTAGTTGTAACAAATCTTAAAAAAACTTCATTTACCTCCAATAACAATGATTTTTTTAAAACTTTATACCAGTGTTATAAAATAGATTTTTGTGACGTATGAATCTAACATTGATAAATATAATATAAAAACTTAGTTACTCCGCAATAGTGAAACAAAAATTAATATTCATATTGATATGACGTCTACGCCACTCCGCATTGGTTGTCAAAAAAAAATATTTTCGGATGGGCCATGTTATACATACATTTTGGATTTGCGTTTTTTTTACATTAATGTTCTAATAATGGCTCTATGAAAAAGGTTGTGATGATAAACGCATAATATAAATATATATATATATATATATATATATATATATATATATATATATATATATATATATATATATATATATATATATATATATATATATATATATATATGTATATATATATATATATATATATATATATTATGTATATTTTAAAAAAATTAAAAACGTTTTTGTCAAAGGTTTATGTTAACGATGTTATTTATTTTTTACGTGATTATATGAAATTGAAAAATCATCAGTCAGTTCAATAGAGTAATTTTCTTCACTCATTACAATTTGAAACCCGCCGGTAAAGTATTTATCATTATCGGTTTTGTTTGTGTCATCGTCAGTATTTCTATCCTCGTCACTTTTACTGCTATTGTTGTAACTGCAGATTACTTTCAATTTTTTTTAATCTTTTTAGCAGAAGTTGACGATTTTATTGTAGAAAACGTCTTGAACTTCTAGTTGAATGCCATGCTTAATGCACAACTGTTGATCACAGTTACTTAAATGCCCAACTTTCTGCATTAAGGTGGCTCCATCAGTAGTAATACATACAATGTCTACTTCGCAGTTCAACATAAACTGTTAACAATTTTTGAAATAAATCAATGCATTTTTCAACAGGCAGCAAACCAACAACTCTAGCTAATTCAACATTACAAAATAAAGAGTGTTCAACCTAAAAAAAACTGAGGACAACGAATTATCGCTTTGGTTTTGTAAGAAATCGGTGAAGGATTGGATTTTTCGGCCGTTGATAACGGCACCAATCAAAACGAAACCGATGACGATGCTGCATATTGGAACAATATTCTCTTCAGCAAGTCAATTTCATGTTTATTTTTTAGATGTGTATGCAGTACACTGGTATTTCAACCATTTGATTTTATCTTTTTGTTGCACTTGTTACTCTTTGCAAGTTGATTTTTTTTATCACGCAGAAAATAAAACCACGCAGAAATTTCATCAACTCGTACGGTGCTAAACGTTTTGAATACTTTTTAGGACACTTTATGTTTTTCTGTAAGATAATTCTATCTATTAGACATAAAATCTTGATTTTTAATTAATACATTTTTTTAAATTGATTTTTGTTCTTAATTCAAAATGCATTAAGTTTTTTTTAGTAAGCGTAACTATAAATGCTGTTAATTCTATAACTTTACAATAGCATACCATTGTAAAATTACATTTTTACAAAATTAAAAATATTCTCAACAGTAACGGCTTCAAACTTTTGAAAGAACCTGGTGGGAAATGAGCTAGTTACTAGCCAGCAAATATCTAGATAGTCACTACCTATGGATAAAAGACGCGTTTTAAAAGTAATATAGGTAGTAATATGTGTTTTACACGTATTAAACTCGTCTTTTGTTATCTAGCTGTCTTTGTCCCACCGAAGCGTTGTCTATCGCGACTAGAAGTTTTAAATATTTTATTTACTTTTGTGTTTCAGGTGAAAAGGGCTTTCCCATATGCTATATCACAAGCCCTATATATATATATTTTTAATACCAGTATTGAGCCAAGCCAATACCAGTATTTTGGTACTTGAAAAAGTCCGGTAATACTGGTATTCCGGTATCGGTACTACCGGTATTGGAAGCACTACTTGTATTGTTTGTTTTACATATATTAAGTTACTTTTACCAAAATAATCAGGTAAATCTGTAGAGGAGCTGTTTTTCACTCCATTTCTATCACATTTATCGAATCAGCTCTAGATCTATCAGTGGTTCATCATTAATGAGATAATCGGAAGATCTATCAGCGGTCCATCATTAATGAGATAATCGGAAGGAAAAAAATAAATTCAACTTTACCAAAAAGAATTAATATTAAGAATATAGATATATTCTGTAAAAAACAAATACCCGAAGAATTTAACAAATATTTTATTAATATTGGTTCATATCTTGCTAATAAAATAAGTCCAACATCTGATTCATTTAAAAAACTACCTAAAACCCACAAATAACCCTATTATGTACGATAAGGAATTTAACTATAAAGAATTTGAAGAAGCTTTTTCCTCTTTAAAAAAAAAGAAAGTACCAGGATTTGATGAAATAACTAGGATTTAGTTATTTTTAATAAAACTAGTCTAAGCAGACCTCTGATCCATATACTTAAGCTCTCAATAACATCTGGGATTTTCCCTGATGTCCTTAAATTAGCAAAAGTAATCCCTATATTGAACATTCAGACAAGCCAACTATAGACCTATATTTCAATACTTTCCGTATTTTTAAAATTCTTCGAATCTGTAATTTATAATAGAATCTAATATCGCTTCGCTAAAAAACAAATTATTTTACCCAAACCAGTTTGGATTTAAAAAAACCTTTTAACAGATTCATTGAATTAGTTAATCAAATAACTGATGGCTTTAAACAAAACAAATTTACTTTAGGAGTTTTTATATATTTATCAAAAGCTTTTGATATAATTGACCACTCCATCCTATTAGATAAACTAAAGTACTACGGTATAATTAGTAAAACTTACAATTGGATTAAAAGTTATCTTACCAATAGAAAACAATATGTGTGTAATATACAATCTGGAGTATTAAATGTTTTATGTGGATCTATCCTTGGTCAACTCCTGTTTTTAAATTATATAAATGATTTTTGCAATGCATCTTTAAAACTAAATTCAGTCATGTTTGCTGATGATACAAATCTACTTCTTACTAACACGGATATCAAGAAATTATATGCAGATATGAATATTGAACTAAATAAAGTAAATAATTGATTTAGGGCTAACAAGCTCTCATTTAACACAGAAAAAACAAACTATATATTATTCCATAAAAAAACACAAAAAGAAAATTTTCCTTTTAAGTTGCCTGACCTTATATTATATGATAACTTAATAAAAAAAAAAAGCCAGTATTAGATTCTTAGGAATTCTTGTTGATGAAAAGTTATCCTGGCTTCCTCAAATAAGATATATTCAATCTAAAATCACTAATATAATTGGTATGATGTATCAAGTTTGCTCATATATCAATAAACAAAGTCTTAAACTAATTTACTTTGGACTAATTTATTGCTTCATCAGCTATGCAAACATATTATGGGCAAGTACGTAACCATCAAAACTTAAAAAAAATTATAGTCTTCAAAAACATGCGTGCAGAATCATTTACTATAAAAATAAGCGTGAACATGCTAAACCTATAATGAAAGGTATGAAAATGATGGATGTTTTTGAGATAAATATTTACCAGCATTTAATTTCTATGTATCAATTCAATAATAATATCTCTCCTGCGATCTTTAATAACAAGTTTGAAATATACATAAAGAAAACTATCTAAGAGCAAATATAAGTAAGACATATAAACTGCCTCAAAACTTTAATAAATAAATTGAATATAGCATTCCATATCGAGGACCAAATATATGGAATAGTTATCAAAAAGAATTCAAATTTATGGCAAAGTCATTCAGTTCATTTAAGTTTCTAATAAAAAAAGATATTTTTAAAATATGAGAATCTTTTGTGCTTCAACGAATTACCAAGGAATTTTATTAAGTTACTAATTATTTTATTTTTTATCTTTATTCGATTTACTGATCAGCGCAGCAGTTTTACGCCGATTATGGTTTTTTATTTAATATCTATACTCTATGGAAAGTGTATATAGGGGCTCTGTGAAAAGATGGCGATGACGTATTGTCATCGCAATCTTTTAACTGTCTATTTAACTCTTTATTTTATTGAGGTCATTGTAAAAAAGAAAGTTTATATTTTATACTGTATATACAAAAACGGTGCTAATTGACAAGATTTTACTGTCTTCTTTGTTCTACGGACATATTTTTTTTTCTTGTATATATACTTGTTTGATTATTTATTGTTAAACAGCAAAATAAATGAAAAGAAAAATATATACATATATATATATATATATATATATATATATATATATATATATATATATATATATATATATACATATATATATATATATATATATATATATATATATATATATATATATATATATATATATATATATATATATATATATATATATATATATATATATATATATATATATATATATATATATATATATATATATATGGTAGACATTTTTCAGTCTCTGCCGTAATAGTGTCCATTTGTTCTTGGGTGAATATAAAAAAAAAAAGAAAAACTCATTTGTTTTTCAGATTTAAATATCTTTATATAATATAAATACAATTCAAACCGAAAATATAAACCTTTTTAAAATTTTTAATATTTTAAATTTTCAAAACAATAACGTAAAAAAAATCTCATTCAGTATCTGATTCTGTAGATGAAGCAGAAATTTCAGAAACATTCTCTAATATTATTGGATCAGTACTTATGTGTCTATCATTGTCTGTTAGCCTGCGATTGTCTTCTTGATTTATTCTATTTCTTGAGTTATTTAAGTGCAAGGATCCTTGAAAAGCTGAATAAATTTGAGGTGAGCGAGAACGATGAATAGCTTGGCGAGATCTTCTATGAGGACGCCTAATTGGGTACGTGCGTTCAATATTTCTGAAATAGCGTATAAAATAGTTTGAGTTTTGAACAAGATCGTCGCAAATATCTGACATGGTTGGAGAAACTGGTGGAGAAACTGAAACAAATTTTTTTTTTTTATTAACATAAAAATGAAATTAAAAATAATTGATAATTATATACACACAATTATATACGTTGCGAAAATAAAATAAATATGTTTTTAATAAATATTTAATTTAAAGTTATTATTATTTGCTAAATTAAATTCTTTATTAAAAAAGTTATTTATTAATAAAATAAAATGGACACGGTCAAACATTTAGATGCTTCATTAAGAAAAGAAAAAAACAGAAATTGGAAATTTAGAAGATAAATGCTAATAGCAAAAAAGTAGTAAGAAAATCCAGTGAAGTACACACTAGAGCATGTTTTATGTTCTTGTGAGAAAATTACTAAATTCATTCAAAAGAATGACACAGAAGAAATTCATAGAAAATACTAGCGATGGGAATTAGGTAATATCTGATAAAAAAAATTACTACTATTAATTAAATTAATTATTAAACCTTTTTATTAATATGTAGTACAGTAAAAACATTACAATAATTTTTCGTGTAAAAATATTTCATGTGTAGTACTAACTTGACTAGTTCTTTTTTAAATAATGGAGTTTCATTGGCTTCTAGCTAAGGTTCACCCAATTTACATTTTATTTTTAGTTATGACACCAGTGTCTGTTAAAAATAACCGGTTTGTTGGAGTGAAAAAATAACATCTCCATTAGAACACTCCATTGGATTATTCTAATGGCGATGGAAGAGGTGTGTTCAATACTGCTGGTATAATAATAAATCAAATAAATCTTACGACTATAAAATATAAATCATCAATAAAAGAACTTCAAAGTTTTTATCCATTGGTAAACAAAAAAAGTCTTCTTTAAATATCTGAAATTGCATAAAGAAGATTTTTTCTGTGAAGTTTCACTAATTGTTAAATTAGAAGTATTTCTAAACACATTTCTAAACAAAGATTGAAACAAAATTTCTACTATGAAATGCTTGACACCATCATGGTATCACCTTGACGCAATAATAAAAAGAGATGCCAAACATGATGCTAATTTTTTTTTCTTTATATACTACTAATGTGTGTTTGAATTAAATTTCTTCATGGGTTAACAAGTGGAACACAAAAATTAATATTTTTTTGTTGCAAGGCATTAAATTTTTTTCAGAGCATGTAGCGTAGGTAATAAATTTTTATTTACACTGATTTTTCTTCTTGTAAAAAGTCTAAACATTGAGTAAGTGAAGCCATTGTGAATACTTCACAGAAGTTTTAAATTAATTAAATTTCTTGATTTGTGAAACTTTGTGTTTCACACAAATCATACAATGTAACGTATTTGTGAGATAAAGTTTTTATTTATAAATATTTATAAATAGATATAAATTTTATTTGGTTTAGCACTTTGAAATAAACTGTGAACTTATTCTGCAATTCTAATTAACATGTTTTCTCGACATCATACCATATTTTGATGGTTTAGTGTATGAATATGTAATATTTTGATGGTTTATTGTATGAATATCTAAAAAGTTGTGGTAAAGTAACAATTAAGTTTTTATTTTAGTCAAATAAAAACTAAACAAATAAGTCAAATAAAAACTAAATAAATAAGTCAACCACTGTTTTAGTTCAAAACTCTTTTTAAGCAAAATTTCAAACAAATTTATATGCTCATTATATAAATTGTTTTTGTTGTCAGTTAAAAACAAAATAAAAACTTTAGTTCTTTGTGCACCACTCTTTTATATTATTTTGCCTACGGCTTAAAAACCTTTTTCGATGTTCCAGCAAAATAGTGCCAAACTTTATACTCACAAACTTTCTGAAAAATGATGTAATGATCATTTTCCTAGGTTTATTGACAAAGATCATTCCAATTTTTTCTGACTTGAACCCTTTATACTACTCTATTGGAGACAATTTTTGTTCACTAAGTTAACTGGAGCAAAACCAATTCAAAGAAAAGTTTAATGGCAGAAATAGAGTTTGAAACAAATTAGAAAAGTTGTAAGAGTTGGACCATGGCATCTTTTAACCTGATAACATATTTAATTGCTTAATAACACTAAATATTTAATAACTCAAACTAAGTATAAAGCTAAGAATATCATACAAGTGTGTATGATATTCTTAGCTTTATACTTAGTTTAAAGAAACTAAAGAAAATTTTTATTTAGAAACTCTCATGCAACACATGTTATAACTGAAGCCCTGACAACGCTTAACCATTTTATAATCATAAATATATTATTTTAGACCTTGAATACCAAAAAAGTTAATTTATTGAAATCAAAATGATAGAGTTAAGTCATGTAAGAAAAACATAGCCCTATTTGAAAATAGCCTATGAATGTTGTTACAGAAGATGAGTTGTGGTTTTATTTGAGCCAAGTTAGTCACCAGTTGGTTAAGATATGACAGAACTAAAAAACATGTTCTTCTTCTTTAAAACAACAGGTGTTGTTGATATGAGTTATATTGAAAATAGAGTTGTTCATTTAAGTTATGTTGAAAAGAGGGGACACGATTATTAGTCAATAATCGTGTCCCCTCTTTTCAACTCTAACTATTTCTCTCATAGTATTAGTCAATACTATGAGAGAAATAGTTAGAAGTCTAAAGTTATGCACAAAACAAAAAAAAAGACAGGCATTCACAATTTCAAATTTCTCAATGATAATGCTCAATCCTATGTTACTCAAGCCATCACAAACTATTTTAATCAAGATGGAATCATAAAAAACAGCTTGAAAGAATGCAAATTGTATAAAATATTTTGTATTTTTATGAATATATACATACACACATACATATATCTACTATTTCAGTTTGATGTCAGATCTAAACACCTATTCATAGTTATGTATATATATATATATATATATATATATATATATATATATATATATATATATATATATATATATATATATATACAATTAAATAAAGCAATTACTTTCATGTGTAGCATCTGAATCAATGGATTCAACTACATCTGATAAATCACTACTCTCTATAGGGTAGCTTGTAAGATTTGCATTGTTTAAACCATGGTGATCATTCCCGGTTGTGTTCAGAGCCTCATATGATTGTGATGATACATTAGAAAATGGAGCAGACATGTAAACTCCATTTGGCAAAGTAAGACAAGATGTTTGAGTGCTTTGATTACTTTTTGAAGTAAGTATATTTACTTGTTCCTCTAGCTTTGATATACGACTCATAAGCTCATTTGTCACATCTAAAATTTACATAATTATCAAAGAATACATAACATGATAAAATTAATTTGCATAATTAACATAATTATCAAAAAATACATCAAATGATAAAATTAATTTGATTGAAGAATAACTAAAACAAAATATCGTAATTTTAGTTTTAAAAAATGTAAATAATTTGTATTCAAACATTATTTCTAATTAAGATATAATATTTTTGCACATCATACCTAATTACTTTTTGAGTTATTATTACTTACAAATTTCATTTTAAGATATAACCAGATAACCAATAAACAAAACACACAAATGGCTAAAGTAATCCAAACAAATGTCATTCTAGGGCTACTTTATCATTTGATAAAAGTAACCAAACAAATACTTGTATTATGTTTTAATTCATTTAAAAGTTCTAAATTAGAGTTGAAAATTATTAAATTTATTATTTTTACACAGTGAGACTTAAATTAATTCTTTTATATGTATAGTGACATGATATCGCTGATATCATTTATTTTGCACATTCTTTTAAATTGAGTAAAAAAAGTTTTTATACAACACAGATAAAAAAGAGCTTAGAGCAGGAATAGCCTTTGATTTGATTAACAGAAAACTAACAGGTGACAACACAATATTGGGACTGGACCTTAAAAGACATAGTTTCCTATTTATCAGCTATTTTTAATTAAACCATTTCTTGAGCTCAGACTGAGCTAAACTCTGTATTAGCTTAATAATAAATTTATTAAGGCATTAATCGATCTCAGAACATTTTATAAGAATTTTTGCCTGCTTATTATTCTTGTAGACAAGATCTTTCAAAATACTCGAAAATATTCCAATAAGGCAACATTCTGGCAAGTTTGCAGGGTTATCCACTTTTTTTCAACATAGTGCACCTTTTTCTTGTTTAGATACACAAAGACTGTTGCATAGTGAGATAATACTAAATTATGCTAGTACATATGTACTCTAAAAAATCTAAACTGAGATTGAGCTGCCTGTTATTCAAAAACTCCATTTAATGGTCAAACACAAGTTAAACCATTAAATATTTGGATTAGACATTTTTAATCTTTTCTCTGTCTTTAGTACCTAGATTTATGCTTAGCATATTAAATTATCCAGAAAATAGTTCTGTGGCCATTGGTCAATTTATGAAAAGTGCAAAATTGGTCATTTTGAAATAAGTATGCAGTTTTGTTATATTTTGTTAGATCTTTTATTTGGTCCAATTATGATTGCTGTCATTTATTACCTCCTAATATAAATATAGTTTATTTTTCAAATTAAAATTTCAAACTCTTTTCCTGCAAAATTTCATATTTGTACTTATCATAAATTAACCAATGGCCACAGAGTTATTTTCTGGATTTTAATGGAGTCAAGCACTATTAAATATTGATTAATTGCATCAAGTAAATGTGTTTCACCTATTATCAACTTGTGAAAATAATAATAAAAATCTAATTGTTTTATTCTAAAACTTTAAAAATTTTATCTTATGTTTTACTATGAAGAAACTGGAAGCACCACAATGATAAATGTTCATAAACTATATAAACAATTTAGTAAAAACAGGCCACAGGCATTCAACATAAAACTTGTTAGATTACTTTGAGTTGAGCTTTGCACAAAATGGTTTCTATTTTGTGGGAATTTCAAACTAATTTAAAAAATATATTTTTAAATCAATAATTTTATATATTTATTTATATACATTTATTTAAGTATATTGTTATGTACATTCTATTTATTTTGTTTACTGTTTTTATATATACTTTTTTAATATATATTGTCATTTATATACTGTGTTGGTTTTAAAGCTTAGACTTATAGATTTATCTCTTAAAATCACCCTGAAATTGTGATTAAAAAAATATTAAAACAAAGTAAACTTTTCAGCCATCTGGGATGTTAGAAACTGAATATGAAAAAAGATTTTAAAATTGTCTTTTTTTTAAGAAAAAAAAAAATCTAAGATCCTATTTTTTTACATATGTGTAAAAATAAATACAGATCTGCTATCTATTTTGCTTAACTGTGAAAATTTTAAATAAAACAAATTATTAAAACATATATTTCTAGGCTAAAAAACTAATGGGCTTCTTTAAAACCATGTCATTTAGGGTAATTTAACAAAATCTAACATTTTTTATCCTATAGAGTTAGAAACTCTCCTTAAACACAATTTACATTGTATTAAAACTGATGAAGTCAAAACATCATATTTTATTCCATCTGAAAGAGATACTTAATCCCTAAGTTTAAATCTTTTTTTTTTCAAAACACTGCATACAACTAAAAAAATATTAAACAGATTTTACTGATATTTTCATTGTGTGATTAGTTTAGTTTTTTAGATTATTTTCTACATGGTGTATATTGTTCAAATTATTAAAATAAAAATAAAAATAAAAAAAAGAATACCTTGAAAATGAGAGTATAATGAGCGAATGCAATTATGAGTTGCTTTTTCACCAACTGTATAAAACATTTCACACCCTAGATCACATAAAACCATTCTCTTGGCACATACATCTGAATGTAACTTAAAATCTTTACGCAAAACTTTAACATTACAGCCTAAGTTCAAACAAGCTATTAAACCATATTGACAAACAAGTGTATGACTCTCAAGCTGCTCTATAGGAACAATATCTGGACAACCCAAATCCTTAAATTCACAAAATATTCTTTGCTTGCTAATAATATTTTTTAAAGCAGGAAGTGCTGAAATTAAATCTTTCTTATGAACTGTTGAGCGACACTGAGGGCAAGAATTTTGATTACGCAGCCAAGTTCTAATACATTTTGAGCAAAACACATGACGACAGGGTGACTCAACAGGTTCTTCCAAAACACATGTGCAAATACAACAAACTAACTCTAAGTGAACTTCTCCTTCAGGAAATCTATCAATATCCCAGCCCATTTTTTATGAAACTAAATCAAGTATACTATTTGTGGACTTAAAAAAACAAAAGTATTCTAAAAGTTATTATTGTATAAAGCATTCTATTCAATAATATTCAAAAAAGATAATAATCAAATTTTTTTTTCAAAATTTATTAGAAATATATTTTAATTTCACTCGTATATATCAGTTATTTTGTCTTGTAAAAAGTTTTACTTAAAAATTATTAAAAAAAAAAAAAATTAATAATAATAATATAAACAACGTCCGGTAACCGAAAGTACTATTTTTCGTGTTTAAGAGCGATTATCTAGGCAATATCGGCTAAGTCTGGAAGTGATGTCTTCAAAATCTCTTCATTTTCAGATATCTTATAGAAAACAATGAAATTAGGCCACAGTTAAATTTTTTTTCGAAAACTCCCATTATTTGCGGAGATATCGGGGGCTGAAATTTGGCCCATTTTGTAAAAATATTGGTGCATGGAACGGAATTACTACTTTTAGGGGCAATTTTAGCAATATGAATTTGAGAAACTCATTTATTTTTCTTATTTCTACTACTCTGAGTGGATTTCTCTGGTTAAAATAAAAATTCAAAATGTTTACATTTTTTATTGTCTAGAAATCACGGTTTAAAACCGCTAAATTTGAAATTTTACCCGTACTTTGACCATTTATATCTCCTAAGGCCATTACTTGCACATAATTTACTTAACTGCTTTTGAAAGCCAATAAGGTATACATTGAATTTATAGAAAAAAAATTATGAGTATGCAAGAGCCTGGGAAAGAGTAAGCTTCCAAAAATGAATTTTCGCGGTTAATACGCTTTGTTAGATTACAAATAACAATCGTGGCCTTAGGTCTGCCATGAAATGTATAAGTTATTTCGTTTCCTTATACATGCATCTTCCAATATCTGAAAAAAAATTCATGTGCTTAGGCGATAAAAAGCCTAGAGAAGTCCTAGAAATAGTCTAATTTTGCCACATTCTTAACCAACAAAATACCCTAGCAACGACATAGATATGCTTAGCAACGGCTACTATAATTCGTTAATAATTAGTACTCTAATTAAAAATAAATAAAAAATACATTTTTATAACAAAAAACTGTATAAAAGCGCTTGATAAAAGTTATTTTCTAAGCTTCTTTAATGAGAAAAAGATCCAAACATCACACACTTTGAAGTGCTTATATCATTGTTAAAACAATTATGTAAATTTCGGATAAACGTTTTTTCAAATACAACTTGTTTAAGAAAGCAAACCAAATAAAGTTTTAAAGAAGTTTATCTGTCAATCTGAATTTCTATGTTATACATATCGTCTATTGAGAGAGAATAGTCCCCTCTTTAATTAGTTGGTGTTGGTACATCAATCCTACAAATAACGTCAAGATATAAATATTGGAGAATATTTTCCTTGGTTGAAACAGTTTTTTCCAGGTGTAGTAGAATAACTGAGAAAGATAAAAGTTGAGGGCCTTAACACCAGCATATTCACTGACACTATACCCAAGCCATTCAATGTGATGATTATTAAAGTCACCAACAACAACAGTATTGGCTGATTGATAAAGAGAGAGGGCTTGGTCATTATGATCAGAAATAACTTCAAAAAGAGCGCAGTCTTGAGATGAAGGAGAGCGATATAGAACAAAGAGAAAGGCAATAAAATAAAGTGGTGCTAAACGAAAGTACATAAAATAATAGTCTGTAGATTCAAACCTAGTTTCTCTACAAATTGGTAAATTCTTACGATTGTAAACGCCCAGGCCAAGCATGTGACTATTTTTACGAATTAAGGGAAGATAACCAGAGAGAGGAGACTCAGATTAGTCTCGAAAAGAGCAAGAAGGTCTGTTGACCTTTGCAAGAAATAAAACTCAACAAAAGAAAAGTTACTTCGAAGACCACAAATATTAGTGAATGATAGGTTTAGAGAACTTGGAGATGACGATAGTTTTTTGTGTTTTATAGTTTTTGGTATTTTCGTCATTTTAAATTTTTTAAAGAACTTGACTCAAAGCATAGGTAGTACTCAGTACAGTATTTAATAGTCCAAGCAATTGCCTCATTACTAAAACTCTAAGCCGTAACAAAGGTCTTCAAATGTGGCCTTAACAATGTACATCAAAAACACGAACAGGTACATCATCCATGTGTAACATGACATTGTCAGTACTCAGATAAATTACAGCTGTTGATGGAACCAGCCTCTCGTAGCCTCTCGGAGCCTCTCGTAGCCTCTCGGAGAGCTACTCAGAGTTCGCAGATGTATTTTTAATAATGTATTAAAAATACATCTGCGCCAGCCTAATAGATGAAAAAGGGGTGCAAGGCTGGTCATCAAATAGAAACTGTTTACCCCATAAGTTTTTGCCTAGGAAGCCTTAGGAACCCCATAAGTTTTGCTTAGGAAGCCTTCTATAAGATAGTAGCCGGATGCGATTAACATCTGCCAAAGATGAGTATTTTTGTCGAGACACCATCTCTAGCCTTTTCTCAACCAAGAGCCCCAAAGCAGGTGGTGTTTTAAGTCAGAATTGGCTTTTCCTAGCCTTTGCCTTAAAAATCGTATCCTATAAGGCAGCAGGACATGAAGCATGTTGTTATTATCCGGTTATCCGACGGAAAGTATATAAGTGGGAAAGGGAAAAGATAAATTCTTTTACATGGACAAAATTAAAATGTCAACGAATTATTAAATGAGATGATTTGGACTCGTGCACCTTAAAGAGTCTATGTAGCAAGAGCCATTGTTGAGATGGCTATGAACTCTGCAATAATTAATTTCAACAACGGAGTTTAAGGTTTCACAACAATTATTTTTAAAATGTAATGTTGCACCAGGACATTTTACTGCAAAATCTTGGAAAACATTGTTGTGTTTGCTGCGAGAAAACTACGAATTCAAACAAATGTTGTTGAATAGACCAAAAATTATGCTTTTAAAATGTTTGCAAACATTATGTTGGCATTATTCAACAATAAAATTTTTAACATACACGCACTATTCAACAACACAACTTTCAATTAACAGCGTGTATGTTTAAGACAACATTAGGAAAAAATAAAGAGACTATTTAAGGGCTTTTGAGGGCTTTTCTAAGAACAAAAAGCTGGTTTGAGGGCTTTTCTAAGAACAAAAAGCTGGAAATGGTTGGTAAAACTGTTGCTAAACAATCTGCCAAATAGTATAAATTCAAGTACTTGATATACATTGGAGATGGACATTACAAGTCTTATATGCGAGTTTGTGATTCAAATCTATATCTAAATCTAAACCATAAAATTATACCTACACAGATAGAGTTGTCAATATTGTAAAAAAAATAAACAGAAAAACAAAAATTAAACCACGTGAAATTTTACATAAGAAAAACTTATACGTAATCATGTGATCGGACTGTCTAAAAGAAAAATCCATCGCTTAAATGATTTAAATTATATTAACCTTGAAGGATACAAATCTTATATTATGTTATATAATATTTATTACCAGATTGTAGTAACGTTTACAAAACGTATTCTATTGGTTCAACAAATTTATTAGACGGTAACAATGGCTACGATTGCGCCACTGTTTAAATATCATTTTTTTAATAAAGAATAGATGAACAATAGAATATTAGTTATTAAGGAAAATTAATAATGAGACTTGATATGTTTTAATTTTTTATTCAAATTAAATGATGCATTTATTGTTTACCTTCAAGCTTAAATTGCATAACTTTATAAATTACGTAAATTTGCTTTAAAAATAATAAGTAAAGATGTAGTAAAAATAAGTAGATGGCTTAATCTACATTCAACTCAGCTAGGAATTGGCTGAATCGTGGATTCAGTAAGTTTTTGTTTTTAACTATCTAAAAGTTTTTCTTTTACATATATATACTCTATTCATAGACAAACGTATATTGTAATTATTAACTGCTTTGATCAGTATACATTTACTCGTTAAATTCATTGCTTTTAACTATATTTTATCAGATTAAATAACATATTTGTCATCAATCATATCAACATAATCATTTGAGATGTTTTTATACTTGCTTGAGTGCTTTGCATGCTTTCCAACAATGCCATTTAATAGTTACGTGGCATGTTATTTTTGGGCAATATAAATATATTAAGAGCGTATAATGAGCGTATAATGGCTATAGAGAAATGCTAATAAAACTTTTGGATAAACTAGAAAAATATAAGTTTTAATAAAAAAATTTTTTTTACTGTAATTTTGTTTTTAATTACATCATAACAAGCCACCACCACAAGTGTAATTGGAATATCTTGAGTTGGATGGCAAGAAATTAGTTTGGCGTTGGATGATGATGGTTGCACCCTCTAACCCGATTTCAACAATATAATAAAAGCTGATATCTAAATGCATAAAACTTAGCATCAATAAAAATAAAGGTTTAATAATAACAAAAGTATGCTACAGATGTAAAACGTTAAAAGAAATTTTCGCAATACCTTTCTTCACCTTTGTTAATAGGAAGCAAAACTTAAAATGTTAACATTTTTTATTAGTTATCAAATACTGCTTAAACCTGAAAACTTAATATACAAATTCAAAATGGACCAAAAATAAATTACACATCTCACTTTAAAATTAACAATTAAAAAAGTTATTATTTGCTGACAACAAATTACAATTTTGAGATACTAGACAAGCAAAAAAACATTATTTACAAAAAGATCTTTTTAAAAATTTTCCTAGCAGATTAACGTTTTACAAGTTAGTTTGTTGTTTGTTTTGATTTTTTAAATAATGTCATCCCAAACATGACTGCAAACATTAAAGTTGGGAGTTAATCGAAAACAAAGAAGAGAGTTTAAGATCAAGAAAAGACATTAGACTAAACATATGTACTACATAGCCCACGGGCTAACCGCTCACAACATAGATATTGTAAAGCATGCTACTATATAACCTGCTATGTAGCATAGGTACATGTAGTTCCTACTTGCTTTTATATAAAATAATATATTTAATGTTTTAAAAAATTTTATTAAAACATATTATTCTAATTTTAGTGATATAAAACCAAATGTTGGAAAAAAATAAAAACAAAAATAATTTAAACTAAATATATTACCTGATTTTTAAGATATTAATTCAAAATGTGTATAGATTAAACCATACTCAAGAAGTGAGTGGAAATAAAAAAGGTGTTGTCCATAAAGGACAACACCTTTTTTACTACATCCTATTACTGCGTTTAGAAATAAAGAATACAATAATTTTAAAAACTTTCCCAAATGTGCATATGGAAGAGTTTTTAAAACTATTGGATCATTATAAATGAAACAGTTAATGATGAAAACCATCATGCCAGTATTTATTGGAAGCCTTTGGTATGTCAAGAGCAGTAGAAATTGCTTTACTGCTTTCATCAAATCACTTATAGTAGTAAGAAGAAGGATAACAGTTGAGTAATTGTGATGAAGGAAAACGAAGCTGAAATTTGTTTAAAATTGTGGTATAGCCCTAGTAGCATCATTATTCTAGCGGCAGGTTAAAAATGACACCTTGACGTTGAAAAAAGAAAATTTTAAAATGTTGCTTTTAAGCTTTGAAAGCTGTAATCGAGTAGATTACTCTATTAAAAGTTGACTATATACGTTTTTAACAACTGTTTAAACTATCAAGAAGTCATCACAACAATTATTACAATTATTACAATCTGCGTAAAGTTTTTGAACACTTCAAAACTAGATATAAATGTCAAAGTTTTAGACAACCTCTACAACTTGTTTGAACAACAATGATAATGGTTTTAATATATAATAATAAAACTATATAAAAAAATAAAACCAAAAGTTATGTAATTTTTTATTTTTATATAAGCAACATCTATTAACTATGTCACTTAAACAATATATGAAAATTTTTGGGCAATATAAATATATTAAGAGCGTATAATGAGCGTATAATGGCTAAAGAGAAATGCTAATAATGTGTGTGTGTGTTTGTGTGTGTGTACGTTTGTGTTTTGTTCAAGGACAAATCCAGATACAGATACACCGTCTAGTATGAGAGGGATTTTTTTTTCTGAAACTTTAAAGTTTTTTGATTTATGAGATTCAGACAATTTAATAAAGTGGACAATTTTTTGATTTTATAAGTTGTCGGCAAGCAAGCCCACAAACCATAATACATTTTTAATTAATTTTTTTGAATGTCAGTGCTAATCTATGAAATGACGTAATATACTGATAAATCATTAGATCGATTTAAATTTGCATCGCATCGCATTTAACAGCCTGCCTATTGGGGCTAATTTACTTTCTTTTTTAAACAACATGCTGCATTAAATATATTTAAATTTGTTTACAAAAAAAAATTATTGTAACAAAAATCTAAGGCAATGTTCTCCTGTTTTCCTTGTTTTTAATGCTGCACTCTTTTTGATTTTATTTCTGATAAACTTTACCAAACCTTACCTCTTAATCAATCACCTATTAATTTTTTTACTAGTGACTCTTCACAATGAACCGCCAGGTAAAACTTCTGATTCTGCTGGCAAAGCTCGAATTAAATCTCTTATAGCAGGCGCTTTTTGAAACACGCCTCCTATAATATTTTGTAAGAACAATGGAGCCTCGGGATTGGCTCGGGATTAGAAACTAATATTGTTGTGTAAAGGTTTTCTAAGCAAAAGATTCAAAAGAATAAAAGTCGGAGAATTTGTGTTAGAAAGAGAGAAAATAGACAACGGAATCCCTCAAGATTTAGGCTCATTATTTTTTTTTGTATTTTTTAATGATTTATTAATTAAAATAAAAAATGATGGAAGATTATTTGCTGACGATATTAAACCTTTAGTAGTCATTAAACCCAAATTAAATTTTATAAAATTTTATAAAATTAGTTTAAAAAAAGGTAATATCTTAAAAGAACAGAACAGATCAACAGAAACAATCTGCCAGTCGCTGATAAAAATTAACGTAAAAAAAAAAAAAATGTAAAATGAAAGTAGTAAAGATAAAGCATAATCTTAAAAAAATACGTTACAATAACAACTTCTACAAGTTATAAATAACAAAACAAATACGAAATCAGAAAAAAAAAGATTCTAACTTTTGATAATAGACAAACAGAAAACATGAATTACAAAAAAAAAAAAAAGCGAAAAATTACTGTCATTAAAAATAATAAAAAAGAAAAAAAATGTTTATTAAGAAAATGTTGACGTTTGATGAGTTGATGATTAATATCATTAAAATGGAAATTTATTTCTTTTATACTTTTTAAAGTTCTTTTCTTTAACATTTTTTTCCCCTTCATTCAAATCAAATACTTTTTTTCATTTTTTTCATATTTACTAATTTTCTATTTTTTATTTCATTAATTATTTAAGTTTTTTTTTTTTTTTTTTTTTTTTTTACATTTAAAAAAGATAAACACAACTACAATAGTTTTATAATTGTTGCCATTTGCAAATTATAGCTATTTGCAAGTGTTAGCCCTTTGCAAATGATAGCCCTTTGCAATTGTTAGGCATTTGCAAATGTCAGGTATTTGTAAATATTATTCTTTTTTTTTTTAATGTTGTATTTTCATGTTGTCTGCAGCAGTATTACAAACAAGGACAAATAGAAGATATGTCGAAATAGAGCATAGAGAAGTAGAACGTGAAATCAGGATTAAACCAAAAGCAAGCACAATAAAGAGAGGCAATTTTAGTAGATTCTAACCTTGCAATTGATTGTATGTATGATTTCCATGAGAGATCAGAGGTGAATGATAAACCAAGACGACGTAAAGAAGAAGATTCAGTGAGAGAGTGTGGCCATTCATCAATATAGAAATATCGACAATACTGCAATTATTTACTTATAATTGTAAATAATATAATTGTAAAAAAATGATTTTTGTTGAAATTCAATTGAAAACCATATTGATTGTCAGAGAGTAGACTCTCAAGATGAAATGTTAGAAATTTGAACAACATACGCCATTTCCTAAATAGCAGGAAAAAAAGATTCAATCAAACCTTATTAAATAGTTTAGAAAGAATAGAAGAAATTTCTGGAAAACTCTTTTGTAAGACTATAATAAAAATGTTATCTGGACCACAAGCTGTAGAAGAGTTTAACTAAGAAACACCTTTAGTAATGGAAGCCACAGTGATATGGATGTCTAACAATAGGTTAACCTGTTTGACTGGAATGGCAGGAAGAGTATGGCCAGTAGTTTTAAGAGTCAAATTAGAGGAAAAAATCTTTGCAAATAATTCTACCTTTTCTTTAGATGATGCAATAAAATCAAAATAGCAATTCACCAAGCAATTCACCAGAGATTTAAGCAGAACACAAATATGCAGAACAGTATGTTACACTTAATAACTTACTGGTGAGTAGGTGTCCCATTCCAGCAAAATTTTAGAATTATCACGCCAACCTTTAAATCGACGTTTAGACTAAAAAAAATAAATAGTATGTACCAAATAATTATATTCCAAGTATTTTTTCAAAGTATAAAAACTTTTGGAAACCCCGACTTAAATTAAGTTTAAAATCCTTTTTTATTGTCTTTTTTTGAGTATTTTTGTTTAAAATCTTAAAAAATATATTCACAACGACTTCAACTTTTCATACAGTATTATTTACTATCTTATTTATATTATATAAAAATTTCGATTTAATTAATTTAATAAAATTTAATAAAAATTAATTTAAGGGTCCCCAGAATTTTTTACAACTGACTTTTAGTGTAAGATTGATACAGTTTGCACTGTTTTAAAAAAACGTAATCAAATATTTATTCAATTTTATTTTTGTCCATAAAGAGAAGCTTGTTTTCAATGGTCTTCCACTATTTGAAGTAAGGTTGAA